TGTATGTGAGTGTATACGTGAGAGTGTGAGAGAGAGAGTGTGTGTGTGAGAGTGTGTTAGTGTGTGAGTTAGTGAGTGTGTGTGTGTGAGTGAGTGTGTGTATGCCTGTGTGTGTGTGTGTGTGTGTGTGTGTGTGTGTGTGTGTGTGTGTGTGTGTGTGTGTGTGTGTGTGTGTGTGTGTGGGTGTGTGTGTGTGTGTGTGTGTGTGTGTGTGTGTGTGTGTGTGTGTGTGTGTGTGTGTGTGTGTGTGTGTGTGTGTGTGTGTGTGTGTATGAGTGTGTGTGTGAGTGTGTGTGGGTGCGCGCGCACAGACTGTACTGTACTGTACTGCCCAAACATATCTACAGCACACAAGAGCCAATGAGCATCAACAAAGCAGTGGATACAGAAACAGTCTGTGCCAACGTGAAGCAAGACCTGGACAATTTCCAGGTTTAGGCTTATAATTGGTAAATAACATTCATGCCATACAAGTGCAAGACATTGACTATCTCCAACAAGAGAGATACTCATTGATGTCAGTGGTATCACCATTACTGAATCTCCCTTTGCCATTGACTCTGTGGGGAAAGGAGAGGGTTGATCCTGTCAGTTGGTTCCCTAAGCAGACTGTCAATGCAATTTGGCAGAATGCCTCATCACCAGTGCTTACAAACTAGCTGTAAGATGTGGCTTAACTGCTGGTGAGATAATCCCTTCCCATCAGATCTATATCTATATGCCCAGAGTCTCACCTCCTCTGCAAGTTGCACTTGAAGTGGCTATGGTGGGGAAGGGACTGTGGTCCACCTCCTTGTGGAATGTACCTTCACAAAGAAGGTCTGGAGGAGGAGGTAATGATTTTTGTCCAGGTTTATCCCGGGCAACTCGGTGACACAAGACTCTGTACTCTATGGGCTTATAGACATTGATACCAACATCAATTCCAACTCGAAGACCATCAACTCAATGAAGGATGTTCTTTAGTCTGCTTGAAACTTGTTGATCTTCCAGTCCAAGGACTTGTCCTCAACCAAGTGAAACAAACTCATATATTCCAAGATCTAGAATGATGTGAAGTGGGACACACTAAAGCTTGGGGCAAAAACAAAGTTGCTGGAAAAGCTCAACAGGTCTGGCAGCATCTGTGAAGGAGAAAACACAGTTAACGTTTCGGGTCCAGTGACCCTTCCTCAGAACTGATGGTGGCTGGGAAAACGTCAGTTATGTGCAGAAAATAGGGAGGTGGGTGGGGTAGGGAGTAAACGATAGGATAGAGCCCAAAGAGAGAGAAAGACAGTTGGACAGACAAAGGAGTTGCTAACGATCAGGCTGGGAGGGTGAATAGTTGTTAATGGGGATTGTTAGTGACTAACAACAGGGGGTGTGTAGTGGCAAGCTATGTGGGGGGCTAGGACATGGGAGAGTTTAGGCCCTAAAATTATTGAACTCAATATTGAGTCCGGAGGGCTGTAGGGTCCCCAAGCGGAAAATGAGGTGTTATTCCTCCAGCTTGCGCTGGGGCAATTCTGTCAGAGATGCAGTGGGGAAAGGCCATGTCTTTCAAACACAGTTTACTAAGCATCTGAAAACGGTTTAATCTCTCTGGCTGAGTACTTTATAAAGAATGAACATTGTGAAGACCAAGAGAATTAAAAATGTATTAAGACATGTCAGAGTGGAATAAGGAGAATAGAGAAAAGCTTATTTCTATCATGTTTTTGGTGATTTTCAATTTGAAATGTTTTGCCCTCAGGCTGTGGGCATGGCATGTACGTTGTAAATATTATTGCGATTGCAATCATATTGACAAGCCTTGACAAAAATCATTACCTCTTTCTCCAGACCTTCTTTGTGAAGGTACATTCCACAAGGAGATGGACAACGTGCAGAGAAGGTGAGACTCTGGGCATATAGACATAGGAAGGATCTGATGGGAAGAGATTATCTCACCAGCAGTTAAGAGACATCTCACAGCTTGTTTGTAAACTCTGGTGATGAGGCATACAAACTTTATTGCAAAGTCTGTAATATTTAAATTGAAATGTTTTGCAATTTCTTCTTACAGATGTCAAGAAAAGAAAGAATATCTTTTGTGAAAGAACACTAGCTGGAAACAGAACTGAATGATCCATGTAAATATTGTGCCTACAAAAGGAGGTTAGAGGCTAGGAATTCTGCGGTGAATAATTCACCTCCTGACTCCCCAAAGCTTGCACACTGTCCATATAGCCCAAGTCAGGAGAATGACGGGATACAGTCAGTTTGCCTGGATGTCCAAGGTGTAAGTTATTTCAAAGCTCATACTATTCGCAGTGTGATGAGACTGTGCCTTTGAGAGATACGTTCTGTCCTGTTTCTGTTACAGAGGGGTGTTGTCACATTGGTGCTGAAATCATTCCTTCAGACAGTTCTCCTTGGGTGTTTGTCTTTAAAGTGAAAAGATTCATGAGTGGGCAGAGTCAGGCTCACACAGACAGAGGATTCTGGTTTTGCTTTCAGTTAGCTGGCTGGTCCAGCTGAACGGTTGAGTTCTCTGCTGCTAGAGTGAAGTCTTAGATAGAGAGGCTTCCTCTTAAAAATCAAAATGGGCCGATTGTTTCTTTCAATGTTTCTTTCAACTGGACTGGAGAGAGATAGCACATGAGAATAACAACTGTGTTTGTGAATTTGCCTTTGCCAAGGGTGTGTTTATGGGATGCTCCCTATATTGGAACAGTTGATGATTAGTGGTTAAATAATACATTATCTTGTAAAGTATCTCAATAAAGCCAATTCTTCTTTTCATTGTATTTTAACTGTGTTGTAAGCATAAAGTTTGTTTTGATTAAAGCTTAGCAGTGGACCAAACAAATCACATCTGGAGCACAGCACTTTACCTTTTAACAACATAGAAAAGTTAGGGTGTAGGCTATCTCCATATATACTTTGGCAGGGTCTGGTTTGGTCCATAACAGCTAAAGCGGTGCAAGGGAATTTGTTTGTAGATTATACACCTTACTCATTTGGCTGTTTTCTTTATTTTTATTTCAAAAATATACTTTATTCATAAAAATATCCTTATGTACATACATAGTGACCAGAGCAGTTCGGTTCTGTACAGTAACATATAAAGAAACAAACAAACATCGGAAACAAAGACAGAAATTGTTGGAAAAGCTCAGCAGGTCTGGCAGCATCTCTGGAAAGAAGTATTAGTTAACGTTTCCACTCGAGTGACCCTTAGTAGGTAACCCACAGATGCTGTCAAACGTGCTGAGCTTCTCCAGCAATTTCTGTTTTTGTTTCTGATTTACAGCATCTGCAGTTCTTTTGGTTTTAAAACAAAGATTGAAGTTTGACTCTATCCAGCAAACAATCCTGAGGCATATTTGGCTGTTTTCACACAATCCCAGGGAATGGCAGTGAGATGGATCCTCTGGGTCTGCACAGATTAGCTGCATGACCATTTCAGCTTTCACTCTTGGTTGCAGTTGACTGGGAGTTCTCAAACATTGCTATGCCATGATATCACAATGGGGGAGGTGAGGAAGGAGATGCCAAGAACTATGTCAGTCAATACAGAGATTGAAGTCATTCCATTGGTATTGTGGTGCACAGTGCCCAGACTACCTGCGTCCTTTCTTGCATGGAAGACTTTGCAATTTTTCACTGCCAGGGACTCGGAACAAACTGGGCAACTCTCCCTGCGTACTTCCCAAACGTTCAGTGAAGATGGGAGGGCAACATTTTTCTTCTAAATGCCCCATGATTTTTCTGTAGGATTGATTGGTATCCATGCAGATTAATTCTTAGAAATCTGCAAGGCAATCCAGGGAACTCAGGAACCATAGTTTAAACCTTCAATATTCCTGATTTGTGGCTAAGGAGCATTCACTTACACCGTCTCTCCCTTTACATATAAAGGATGAAAAGGAGTTGGGGGGCATGGGAGGGGGGAGTGGAAATTTTGGGGACTGTATTGTTTCATTTCAGAGCATGGTTCAGGCATTGTCCTGCCCCATTTGATTGATAGCTCCGGCTGAGTGTAGTGGCTCTTCCAAGCCTGGCCAAACTCGCCTGGCATGTGTTGGTGAGTCAGCCTCACACAAGCACACACACACAACAGCTCCAACAGGCAACACAGCCTGGGGAATTAACCTTTTTAAAGAGAGAAATCAACAAAGTGCACTGTCAAAACCCCGGCTGCCAGCACCTCCTCTTCATCTCCCCTTCCATCCCCCTTTATGTGTGTTTGTGTCTGGAATTAAACTGTGCCCAGGATGCAATATGTAAACTGTGGCAAAGTGTCATTCGTATTTGCAGACCGCAGGGTTCCTTAAATAGTCCTGGGAATAGGGAGGGGGTGTTGATTGACAGCTACAGACATTCGAGCAAGTTGGGGGGGGGGGTCTGCAGGCTAGTCTCAGAGGAGCTGGAATGGTGAGGACGGATTTGACTCCATTGTATTAGAGCCATTATTTTGTATATTAGAGACGTGTAAACCGGGGCTCCATTGTGAAAACACAGGGAGACGAAAGGTAAGCTGGTCTTTTCAAAGGAGGCAAAACGGTGCATCAGAGAGATAGCCTTCCGAAAGGTCGCGGGTCTATTTTTAAACGCATTTCGTCCTGCTATAACTTTGCACCCAATCTACTTGTTAACAAGCAGATAATTTGCAGATTCCTAAAATTTGCAAAAAGCATTGATTTATAAAGAGGAGTTGGGATTGACAATTGCAATGTCAACTCCTTACACACTACAAATTATTGGCGTCCTTTTTCAATATATTTAATTGGAGAGTGGCAGGAATTAATGTCACTTTTAATGTTTAAACTTCCTTCAAAAGCAGCCGAGAGACCGTAAGGACTGGACTTTGTGGATTGACCCGGGGGAAGCTGCGTTGGATTGAAGACTTCCCTAAGAGTGGAGCTGGACTTTGGAGTTAGTTTCTGTGCCGGGGGATCCGAGTTTTGGAAGGAAAGGGAAGGGAGATTGTGTGATCCTCTATGTCTAATAAGGAGGTGACCAACAGCAGAATGAGTTCCAAGCGGACGGTACGCTCCTATTCCGCCAACGGCCGCTATTCTCTGGACATCAAGGAAGATGATGAGCCTCCTGCCAGGGGGGAGGCCAGCCGTAACTACTTCCTCAATGTTCGACCTGAGAACAGGTGAGAAAGAAAAGGGGGGAAAACAAAAGCTACCGTCTATTCCTCCGGAGGTTACTCAGCCCCTCTAACCTAGCCCTCCATTCAGTTCCAACTCCTGAAATAACAAATTGGAAGGGGTTAAACCACCCTTCCAAATGGGGATCCCCTAACAGAAGTGAGAAAGGGCCAACATGTAGAATAGACATTTTTCAAATCAAGACAACATTTCCGGAGATAATGGAAGACTGCAACAACTGTGGTGCCCACTGGTCTGTAGTGTGCCAGCAGGCAGTGCAAACTCCATCTGAACAGACTTAGTGTGGATGTAACTGTGAAAGAGGGGCAGAGAGTCAGGCACTAGGACCCCCCACCCACCTCCACAGTCTGGGCCTAGTCCATTAGTCCATTCGGTTCCTTCTCTGATGGCACATCTGCCTGTTTCACCCCATCGACCCACTTTGGACCCTTCATGGCCCGTATTCCTCAACACCCACCCACCCCAACCATTCCACCACCACCTTCCTGTTTAGCAATAATTTATCAGTATCAGCTTGGAAATGTTCAACGACACTCTGCTTCCCACACCCCCCCCCCCCAGCCATTTCTGGGGGAGGAGAAGGTAGTTGGAGGCAGTTTTGTTTATTCCTTCACTGGACGTGACCATCTCTGGCTGGAGCAGCATTTCTTGCCCATCCCTAGTTGCCCTTGAGAATGTGGTGGTGAGCTGCCTTCCTGAACACTGCAATCTATACAATTGATGCTGGATGGTCATGTTTTGGGAATTTGGGTTCGAACCCACCTGGGCAGATGGTGGAATTTGAATTAAATAAAGCAAATCTGGGATTAGGAGTCTAATATGAAACCATTGATTGTTAGGAAAAACCCACCTGGTTCACTCTCATCCTTGTTGGAGGAAAATCTGTTGTCCTTACCTGGTCTGGCCTACATGTGACTCCAGACCCTCAGCAATGTGGGTGACTCTTAACAATTAAGGACAGGCAATAAATGCTAGCCCAGCAAGTGACACCCACATCTCGTGAATGAATTAAAAAACAGTCACAATATCCTTAGTTGGGGGGTAGTTCCAGGATTTTGACCCAGCCACAGTGAAGGAATGATGATACATTTCCAAGTCAGGACGGTCAATGGCTTGGAGGGGAACTTGCAGATGGTGGTGTTCCCATATATCTGCTGCCCTTATCCTCCTGGATGGAGGTGGACGTGGGTTTGGAAGGTGCTGTCTAAGGATTTTTGGTGAATCTCTGCAGTGTATCTTGTAGATAGTACACACTGCTGCTATTGAGCCTCGGTGGTGGAGGGAGTGAATGCTTGTAGATGTGGTACCAGTCAAGCCGGCTGCTTTGTCTTGGATGGTGTCAAGCTCCTAGAGTGTTGTTGGAGCTGAGTGGGGAATGTTCCATCACACTAGTGCGAGTCAAGACCACCACCACATAACAGTGCATCTATTCTCAGCCTGAACTCTAGGGGTACAGCAGCTAATGAGGGTGGAGGTAGGGGGTAGTTGGGCTTGCCAGTCTTGGGCAGTGATGACTGAGGGAGCTAGCAGGTAAGCTGCTGGGAATGGTCAGGAATCTGTGCAAATACCTCAAAAAAAAATACAGCGTTGTGGAGAAAAGGCAGGAGAATTGGCACAAGGTCATGACACTAATTCAGAGAGTCAGTTTGCACACAATGGGCCAAATTCCTAACCATAACAAATTCACTGATTCTGTGAAGCCGGATTTACCCCTGAACTCAGTTGGGGTGGGTGGAGGGGAGAGTTATTTTGAGACTTTTCCAGAGGTTGAGGGGTGGCCTTATAAAATCAAGAGGGACATGGATAGGGTGAATAGTCAAGGTCTTTTTTTTCCAGGTTAGGGGAGTCCAAAGCTAGAGGGCATAGGTTTAAGGTTTAAAAGGGACCTAAGGGGCAACTTTTTCACACAGAAAACCCATCTGATTCATTAATATCCTGGCCTACATGTCATCCCAGCCATTTCTTCACTCAGCAGAAAGAGAGCCTGTGGAACTCTCTACAACAGGAGGCTGGGACACTGAGTGTAATCAGGAAAGAGATTGGTTGTTTTTAAGGTATTCAAGGCATTGAGGGGTATGGGGAGAAAATAGGAATATGGCATTAAGATAAAGGATCAGCCATGATCATACTGAATAGCGAAACAGGCTTGAAGGGTTGAATGGCCTTCTCCTGTTCCTACTTTCTATGTCTCTGACCCACAGTAATGTTCAGTTGACTGCTCTATGAAATGGCTGAGGAAGCCGTTCAGTTCCAAGGTAATTAGGGATAGGCACTATACTACCTCGCCAACAATGCCCATGGAATCAGTGCTGGGTCCACTGTTGTTTGCCATTTATATAAATGATCTGGATAAGAATATAGGAGGCACAGCTGGTAAGTTTGCAGATGATACCAACATTGGTAGTGTAATGGAGAGTGAAGAAGGTTATCTAAGATTACAAAGAGATCTTGATCAATTGGGTCAATGGGCTGAGGAGTGGCAGGTGGAGTTTAATTAGTATAACTGTAAGATATTGCATTTTGTTACAACAAACAAGGGCAGGACTTATACAATTAATGGTAGGGCCTTGGGTGGTGTAATAGAATAGCTAGAACTAGGTACGTGAACACAGTGACCTGTCCTTCCCATGTATTATTTCACACACTTGCACTGTTCCTGTTTGTCTTCTCACAATTCACAAGAACTATTGAGGCAAAGTAAGGTTCTCTGTCTCCCATATGCTTGGTAATCCTAGGAGCAGAGAGGCTGGGAAACATTCTTTCATTCTTTATCATTGAAAAACCTTTTCAGCGATTGGAAATCTCAACTGGAATGCCTCATTTCTGAAGAAGGGTCTAGGCCCAAAACGTCAGCCTTCCTGCTCCTCTGATGCTGCTTGGCCTGCTGTGTTCATCCAGCTCTACACCTTGTTATCTCTGGAATGCCTTAAGCTGTTTTTTGAAGGAAAGCCTAATGCTGTTAGCTCTTTTTATGATTACCATAACACAGCCCCTCCCCTCCAACTTCTCTAGGAGTTCTTTCTTGCTGTGACCTTTCCATGGCTTTAAGATGTTTCCCTATAATGGGTGTACCAAATCTCAGGCAATAGTTCAGCAGCAAACAAGTTTGAAGTTGGAAGTTGACTTGACAGTAGGAGCAGAGGGTGGTGGTAGAGGGTTGCTTTTTGGACTGGAGGCCTGTGACCAGCGATGTGCCACAAGGATAGGTGCTAGGTCCACTGCTTTTTGTCATTTATATAAATGATTTGGATGTGAATATAGAAAGTATGGTTGGTAAGTCTGCAGATGACACCAAAATAGGTGGTATAGTACAGTGAAGAAGATTATCTCAAAGTACAATGGGAACTTGATTAGATGGGCCAATGGGCCGAGGAGTGGCCAATGGAGTTTAATTTAGATAAATATGAGGTGTTGCACTTTGGTAAGGCCAACCAGGCGGGACTTACAATGTTAATGGTAGGGCCTTGTGGAGTGTTGCTGAACAAAGAGAATTCAGAGTGCAGGTGCATAGTACATTGAAAGTGGTGTCACAGGTAGACAGGATGATGAAGAAGGCATTTAACGTGCCTGCCTTCATTGGTCAGAACATTGAATATAGGAGTTGGGATGTCATGTTGTAGATGTACAGGACATTGGTTAGGCCACTTTTAAAATTCTGCATACATTCATGGTTGCCTTTCTATAGCATGGATGTTTTTAAACTTGAGAGGGTGCTGAAAAGATTTACAAGCATGTTGCTGGGACTGGAGGGTTTGAGCTAGAAGGAGAGGCTGAATAGGCTGGGGCTATTTTCCCTGGAGTGTTGGAGGCTGAGGGGTGACCTAATAGATGTTTATAAAATCATGAGGGGCATGTATAGAGTCAAGCCAAGGTCTTTTCCCTGGGGTGGGGGAGTCCAAAACTGGAGGGCATATGTTTAAGATTTAAAAAGGACCTTAGGGTTAACTTTTTCACACAGAGACTGGTGCATGTATGGAATAAGCTACCAGAGGAAGTGGAGGAGACTGGTACAATTACAATATTTAAAAGGCATCTGGATGGATGTGTGAATAGGAAGGGTTTAGAAGAATGCTGACAAATGGGACTAGGTCAGATTGGGGTGTCTGGTCGGCATGGATGAGTTGGGCTCTTGAGTCTGTTTCCATGCTGTATGACTCTATGACCCTATAATTTTGTACCCTAACATTTAAAGATCGATGCACTTCTCCCCAATAATCCTTCATTTTCTAGAGTTTTGGTGTTTGAATATTTTTCCTTTCATATTTCTTCCCTCCCAGAATGTAGCCTTGACATTGTAATAGTCATTGACTCAGCCATTCCAATAACTGAGTTGTCACTTTGCGCTATCTCTCTTTGTTCTGATGTCATCAGTAAACATCGATATTACTCTTCATGTTATATTGAGATCCATTGATTACACTGAGAATCCATCGATATATCACTCTTCCTGAGTTTAGGTAGTTGAAATAATGTGGAGGAAGATAAAGAGGCCATGTGACCCACCAGCAGTTACAGCCACCAGTCAAAAAACTCTAGCCCGAGACTTGCTTTACACTCCCCTGTCTGTGTGACTGTATTTCCTTTAAAATGGCCTAGTTTCCTTTTCATTACTTGTCTCTACCTTTTCACCTATAATTGATTTCCTCAAAATGTCAGTTAAGTTCATCTGTCTTATAACAATAAGATGGTGATGTTCTCTCATTAAATCTTTCCAAGTGTTCACGCGGCTCATTTGAGGCGACCTGGTTTATGGTTCATCCTTTCACCTTTTGTACAGGGGACAACATTTTTAACCCCTCTCAAAACCCATGTGAAGGATAAAATACTACCCCTCTCTTTTTCTTTCCACATGCTGTCCCTTCCTTCAGCTGTCCTTGTAGAAAAGTCGGCCCTAGGAACAGGAGGAGGCCATTCAGCCATTTCCACCATTCGATATGATCATGGTCAATCCTGTATCTCAATGCCATGTTTCTGCTTCCTCTCCATTACCCTTGATGCCTTTAATGTCTAAAAATGTAACAATTTCTTTTTCGAATATATTCAGAGACTTGGTCTCCACAGTCTTCTGTGGTAGAGAAGTTTATGGGACCACTACCCTCTGAGTGAAGAAATATTTCCTCATAGAGTCATAAAGTCATAGAGCTGTACAGCATGGAAACAGACCCTTCGGTCCAACTTGTCCATGCCGACCAGATAGCCTAAATAAATCTAGTTCCATTTGCCAGCATTTGGCCCATATCCCTCTAAACCCTTCCTATTTAATATATGCATCCAGATGAAGTTTAAATGTTGTAATTGTACCAGCCTCCACCACTTCCTCTGGCAGCTCATTCCATACACATACCACCCTCTGCATGATAAAGTTGCCCCTTAGGTCCCTTTTACATCTTTCCCCTTTCAACTTCAGCCTATGCCCTCTAGTTTTGGACTCTCCCACCCTGGGGAAAAGACCTTTTCTATTCAGCCTACCCATGCCCCTCATGATTTTATAAAACTTTATAAGGTCACCCCTCACCATAGGAAGGGAGACCAACACTGCACACAGTACTCCAGACGTGGCCTCAACAAGGTCCTGGATAACTGAAGTAAGACATTCATTTGTGAACACAAATAGTCTTAATTAATTTGCAGCACAGAAACACACTGTTCAGTTCAGCAGATTTATAGTGTGTTTATGCTCCACATGCACCTTCTCCCATCACCTAATCGCTTCAGCATCCTTGTCTGTTCTCTATTAACCTTATCCTCTTCAATACCTCTGCATTATGCACCTTAACTACCCCTGAAGGAGCCAGATTCCAAATTTTACCAGTTCTCTGGCTAAATATAACAGTTGTCAATACTTCCTTTTATTTTCACAGTCTTTTATTCCCAGACTCCTTAATCTCTCTTTATTTTTCATTTCTGCACTTACTCCACCCCTCTCTTGTAGCCCCTGCATTTGACAAAAAAATGTTTGAACGCGCTCTCTATCTGTCTTTGTGTGTGTGTGTGCTGTGTGTGCCTGTCTTTGTGTGAGTGTGTCTGTCTGTCTTTGTGTGTGTGTGTGTGTGTGTGGTAATTTCATGTTATATGTTATATTGACTCAGCTACATTTGCTGTCAGTAGTGTCTCACTGGTGATGCTATGGCTTTGGGTTCACAAAGTTTTGGGTTCAAATCTCACTCTCGGGTCTGAGCACATCAATCAAGGCGAATGCTCCAGTACAGTACTGAGGCAGTGCAGCACTCCCTGAGGTGCCCTCTGATGGATGGAGTGTGAGACTGGGATCTCTTGGGCTTAGTAAGAGATCCCGAGGCATTATTTTGAAGAAAGGAAGGGATAGTTACTGACTAATATTTATCCCTTAACATTATGTAGCCATTAGCGCAGCTCTCTGCAGGATCGAGCTGCATGCAAATTTTTATTTACTCATGGGATTGAAGCATCAATGGCTAGACCAGCATTTATTGCCCATCATTAATTAGATAAGAGTTAGCCACATTGCTGTGGGTCTGGAGTTACATACAGACCAGACTGGGTAAGGATGACAGATTTCCCTCTCTAAAAGGTGTTTTAATGGACCACATGGTTTTTTATTAATGAGGTGCCGAGGAGTCAATTAGTTTTTACAGAAACCACCACACCCCTTCAACAGGATCACACAGATCTCCATTATTCCTCACAATCTGATTAAAATGCAGCCTGTTATTATTTTTCATCTGTTTCACAATCTGAATTTGTCCTTATTTTATTCTCCCACGGGTTAGAGGCATCATTAGCTGGGCCAGCATTTATTGCCCATCCCTAATGAGCGAAGAGTTCGCCACATTGCCATGGGTCTGGAGTTACATCCACCCCAGATTGGGTAAGGGTGATAGATTTCCCTCTCTAAAGGGCATTAATGAACCATTTATTGCCTGTCCCTAGTTCCTTTGATCTGGTTTGATTTATTGAAGTCACATGTACCTAAGTACCGTGAAAAGCTTTGTTTTGCGAAAAGTACAGGCAGATCATAATAAACAAGGGCATACAGATCATAGGGTGCTTAGACAGAGTGAGGAATATAGGTTACACTGCACAAGCAATGCGTAAAGCAAGATCAACATTATTTGAAGTTAGAAGGTTGCCCATGAGAAGGTGGTGGTGAGCTGCCCTGTTGAATTTCTGCAGTCCATGTGCTGCAGAGAGGGAATTCCAAGATTTTGACCCAGCGGCACTGAAGGAATGGCAATGTATTTCCAAGTCAGAATGGTGAGTGACTTGGAGGGGACTGTGCATGTGCTTGCACCTGCTGCCCTTGCATTTCCAGAGGTCACAGGTTTGAAAGGTGTTGTCAAAGGAGCCGTGATGAGTTGCTGTAGTGCACCTTATAGATGGTACACACTGCTGCCCCTATGTATCAGTGGTGGAGGGAGTGAATGTTGAAGGTGGTGAATGGGGTGTCAATCAAGTGGGCTGCTTTGTCTGGATGGTGTTGGGTTTTTGGAATCTGTAAGTAACAAGAAGTGTGGAATTCTTATTACAAGTTTCACTGACATAAGAAATATTGTTATCTCTTTATTACACCCTCACAGTGACAGGAATTGTCCCTATGTATATTGGAGATTGGCTGCAACATGACCCATGTTCAGTTCTGATAAATTTTGATTTGGATTTTAACTGTGCAGAATAGGGTTAAATACGGTTTCACCCTGATACCTTGAGCATTGTTGGTCGTCTTTTCTTTTAGGCAAACGTTTTGTAACATCATCGCTCAGATAACTGAAGAGACCCAGCCAGGATTTGAAACCACATTGAAGTCCCGTGCGGTATCTGAGGATACTGATGTGAAGTTTACCTGCACAGTTACAGGTAACCATTCATTTCTCGACTGATGTGACGACTGACTGGTTTTGTGTGTGAATGGCTGGCTGTTTTATCACCAGAATGTTACTCATGTAACTCAGACCCTGTCATGGTGGACTCCGAATGTGGAGACACAGGTTTAGTGATCATCTTGAGAGCGAGTCTCCCCAGGACAAAGTCCAGACGTGAACCATTCAGAAGCCATCAGCCTGCAGTACTCCAGAGGGAGATCCTAGTTCGGATTTCAGTGTCGAGCAAAGGCTAGAATCTTCCATAGCTAGTCAGGAGACCAAGTTGGAATCTTAGTCTCCCTGGATTTGGAGGTAGATTGGTAGAGCTTTTGGCTTGCATTTATCACCGTTAAACTTCATGGAATGCCCAAATGGAACCCCAAGTAGTAACAAAAATACTAATCACTAGCTTTGCTCAAGGGCCCATGTTGGCTTTGGCTTGTCGATGTTAACTGACAAATACCCCACATTCCCGCTCACTTCAGATTTTGTACACATTCCCTGGTACTTTATGACTTGGCAAGATGCCTCAGCGCAATTGAGGTCCCAGGACTATATTGGTACATGATTAGGATGGGGCTGTACAAATCGTCAGGAGTTCACCATCGGTTTCCAATCCTCAGCGTCAGATACATGTGCACAACATGGAGAAGGGGAATCATTAGTAGAGAGTTCACAGGGGAGGCGATGGCCTCGTGGTATTATTGCTAGGCTATTAGTCCAGAGGCCCAGGTAACGTTCTGGGGATCTGGGTTTGAATCCTGCCACACGTGGAATTTGAATTCAGTAAACAAAAAAATTTGGAATTAAGAGTCTAATCATGACCATGAATCCGTTGTTGATTGTCAGAAAATCCCATCTGGTTCACTGAAGCCGACACAACGTGGAGCTGGAGGAACACAGCAGGTCAGGCAGCATCAGAAGAGCAGGAAAGTTGACATTTCAGGTCAGGACCTTTCTTCAGAACTTCTTGAGTCCCGACCTGAGGCCTTCAGCTCCACGCTGTGTTGACTCTGATTCCAGCATTCTGCAGTTCTTGGTATCATCTGGTTCACTAATGTCCTTTAGGGAAGGAAACTGCCATCTTTATCCAGTCTGGCCTACATGTGACCCCAGACCCACTGCAATGTGGGTGACTGTCAACTGCCCTCTGGGCAATAAATGCTGGTCTTACCAGCGATCCACATCCCACGAATGAATTAGAAAATAGCCGGAGATTCTAGGAAGATGCTGGATGATGAGAGAGTTGCTGAAAGACAATTTGTAGCCATTTCTGAAAGATGTGATGGATTTCTGTCCAAAAACTTGGCTCAGTAGTTAGTTAGAAAGTATCTTTCCCTAACTATGTTGTGGCAATGTGACTGGATTTGTAATTCACAGGCTCAGGGTAACGGCCCAGTGATACAATGTTTAAATCCCACCAAAGCATCCAGCGAAATTGAGGTTTAATTTATGAATAAATGTGGGCTTGAAAGCTAATCTCAGGAAACCCTAATCGATTGATTAAAAACCATCTGGTCTCTTGTGTCCTTTGAGAAACTGTCATTGGGCACATGGCCACATGGGAATCTGGACATGCAGTAACTTCAGTGCAAATTCCATGGGGAGCGGGGTATTGTTGGCAGGGCCACCATTTGTTACCCATCCCTAACTGCCCTTGAACTAAGAGGTTTGTTGACCCATCCCAGAGGGCAGTTAAGAGTCAACCACCTCACTGTGAGTCTGAAGTCACATGTAGGTCAGACCGGGTAAGGTTGACAGATTTCCCTCCGTGAAGGACATTCGCCAATCAGATGGGTTTTTACGATAATTGACAATAGTCGCATGGTCCCAATCGCAGTGACTAGTTTCCAATTCCAGGTTTTTATTAATAGAATTTAAATCCACCAGCAGCTGCACAGGGATTCAACCCACGAGCACCAAGAATTAGTCTGGGCCTTTGGATTACCGTCTTAGTGATGTTACCACAACACTGCAGCCCTCAGTAAACAGAGTCAACTTTTAACTGTTCTCAGAATGGCCCGAGCAAGCCAGTCAATTGAAGAGCATTGCTCTTCACTTCAGTGGGCAGTACACACCGGCATTGCCAACAATGCCCATCCCACTAATGAATAAAGTGAAATGTTTGGACCTCATTCCAGCCAGAGGCTGATAGGACTACCATGTAGATCCGAGTGAGATCACTTAGGTCAGGTGTATGTGTGTGTATGTGTGTGTGTGTGTGTGTGTGTGTGTGTGTGTGTGTGTGGGGTTAGGTGAGTGTGTATGTGGGTGACTGAGGGAGTGTGGGTGTGTTAGTGAATAAGGGAGAGTGTGGGCATGTGAGGCAGTGTGAGTATGGGCACGTGAGCGAGTGTGGGTGTGTGGGACTGTGTGAGAGTGAGGGAGTGTGTGAGTGCGTGCAGGATGGGTGTGTGCTGTACACTCCCAGAATAAGGATACACTTGCTCACACCAGGACCCTGTGCGTGGAGGCCTTCAGTGTGGAAGAGGATTTTGCATTGCAGCTTTCACTCATATGATAGACTTGGAAACTGTCCCATTCTGATTGGCTGATAGAAGAGCTTCTGAAGGATTTACAGATTGAGAGTCAGCCCAGTTGACCACTTTGTAATGCACCTTCTGTGGTCATCAGATCCTGAGGTAGGACTTCAACCCAGGACACATGTCCCAGAGGTAGGAACACTACCCAGTGAGCCACATGGCTCTGTGGAGCTTGTGTAATTGTATAGGGAGCCCCTTAAGGCAGCTGGGTGGGAAATGGAGAGAATTGTTGATTGATGCATGCTGCTTGGGATAGACCTGGGGTTTGCTCTGAGCCTAACACTAACCAAACAAAGAATTCCCTCACATTTGTGTGAGATCACCAGAATATAACAGTCAATTTTTGAGAGTCAAATCTTAATTTTGCTTGAGGTGGGTCAGGGAGTGTGCAGTATCTGTACACATCCTTTTCTGCCAAGTCCTGCTGCTTGCTCTCACCTGATTGTATGAGAAAAAGTTAAAGCTGCTCAAGGATTTATCACTCTTGGTTCTTCCTAAATCAGGTCAAATGAGATCATGAGCGGCCTACTCAGGAAGGCCAGGTTACTGTAGCAACATGTGCATGTTCCTACAGGCTGCACATTCTGGAGCGACAGGGTCATTCCCATCGCATCACTGACCAGTTATCTCTTCCGCTGTTACTGCCTGACATTGGTGTATGTTGTCAGGACTCACAAGTTGGTACTCAACCAGTTTGGCCCCATGATGAATGCAGCCCTTTTGACCATCAGGGCCTGAGGTGGGTCTCGAACCCAGATGGTTTGACTCCAAAGCAGAGGTATTGCCCACTGTGACCTGAGGCCTCTGCCCAGGTTATGTGTAGGCCCAGCCTGAAAGAGGTACCTGAAATCACAGGCTCTGGTGCTGCTCTGGATTTGGGCTCCCAATCTGAGGGGACAACTCTCCCCCTCTGACCACCCACCCTCCCGCAGAGCCCTGGGCCCCTGGTTATACACGCCCCCCAACATCCCGTCTCTCTCCCAGCCCTATTTGTCACATAGTTCAGGTCCACAATAAAGAATGTATATGATGAACGATATATTTATTGGTGGCTGCAATGTAGGAATGGTGTATTGGTTAGTAATTCTTTTAATATTTTAATCCAATATTACCCTTCCTTTAGTATCTGGTCTGTGACTTCCCTGCTGAATTTCATTGTCCATTTTTTGTTTCTATGAATGAACATATTTCTAACCTGATTTCTGAGTCGGTATACGAATGATTTGGGGTTGTCAGTTAGCTCAGTTGGCTGGACAGTGGTCTGCCATTGCAGAGTATTATCCAACAGCAGGGAATCACTTCCTGCCCTGGCTGAGGTTAGTACAAAGGATTCTCCTTCTCAACGTCTCCCCTTCCCTGAGGTTAAACCCCCTCCCTCCCGACTCATCTCTCTCTCTCTAATGAGAAAGCAGGCCTATGGTCCAGTCAAATGGTGACTTTATTGAATGTTTCAATGTAAATCACACTGTAATTCAGCTTCATGTGACTTTTGGCTGCACCTGTTCTGGACATGGAAGTCCATTCCAGTTAGAAATTTGAAATTGTTTGAGTTCCTAATCAAGCTCCCTGCAAAGTTACCGTCACTGTCTGCATCCGTGTCTCTCTGTGTATGTCTGTGTCTCTCTCTCTCTGTCCATGTCTCTTTATGTCTGTGTCTGTCTGCATCTGTGTCTCTCTGTGTGTGTCTGTGTCTCTCTGTGTCTGTCCGTGTCTCTCAGTGTGTCCATGTCTCTCTGTGTGTGTCTGTGTCTCTCTCTCTCTGTGTCCAAGTCTCTCTCTGTGTCTGTGTCTCTCAGTGTGTTCATGACTCTCTGTGTGTGCCTGTGTCTCTCTCTCTCCCTGTGTCTAAGTCTCTCTCTGTGTCTGTGTCTCTCAGTGTATTCATATCTCACTGTGTGTGTCTGTGTCTCTCTGTGTCCATGTCTCTCTCTGTGTCCATGTCTCTCTTAGTGTGTCCGTGTCTGTGTGTGTGTGCCTGTGTCTCTCTCTCTGTGTCCATGTCTCTCTGTGTGTTTGTGTCTCTCTTTGTGCCCGTGTCTCTCTCAGTGTGTCCACATCTGTCTGTGTCTGTGTCTCGCCCTGTCTGTCTGTATCTCTGTGTGTCCATGTTGTTCTGTCTATGCCCGTGTCTCTCTGTGCCCATGTCTCTCTGTGTGTGCATGTCTCTGTCTGTATCTGAGTCTGTCTCTGTGTCCGTGTCTCTTTATGTCTGCATCTGTCTGTTTCCGTGTCTCTCTGCGTGTCCATGTCTCTCTCTCTGTGTCTGTGTCTGTTTATGTCCATGTCTGTCTGTTTCTGTGTCTCTCTGTGTGTCTGTGTCTCTCTATGTCCATGTCTCTGTCTCTCTGCGTCCGTGTCTCTGCGTCCGTGTCTCTTTGTCTGTGTGTCTGTCTCTCTGTGTCCATGTCTCTCTCTCTGTGTCTGTGTCTCTCTGTGTCCGTAGCTGTGCGAG